CAGGAATGCAGGGGACTCTGCCCTGGGATGGGTCAGGAGTCAGTGGAGAATTTACGGGTCAAGATTAGTGGGCAGAGCAATATGGCTGCTGTTGTAGTGGGTATGTCCTACAGACTACCTGATCAAGAAGAAGTATGTCAGGCCTTCTTCAGACAACTGGGAGAAGCCTCCAGTTCACAGGCCCTGACCCTCATGGGGAAATTTAATCACATTTTAACCTGGAAGAACAACACAGCAAGGCGCAAGCAGTCTAGGAGATTTCTGAAGAGCATTGATGGCTTCCTCACGCAGGTGATCAAGAAGATAACAATGAAAGGTGCTCTGCGGCACGTGATACTTACAAATGGAAGTGTTGATATTGAGGTCATTTCTACTTAAATTCTTTGTTAATGACTGGAGGACAGGGCAAAGTGGACCCTCAGTAGTTCACAGACTATCCAAAACTGTGAGGAGTGGTTGATACACAAGATGGCTGTGCTGCCATTCAGACAGATAAGAACAGCCCAGAGGACTGGGCTCACAAGAACCTCATGAAGTTCAGCAAGGGGAAATGCACAGTCCTGCACCTGGGGAGGAACAATCCCAGGCACCAGTACATGCTGGGGGATGACAAGCTGGAAAGCAGCTTAGTAAAAATGGACCTGCGTGTCCTGGTGGACACCAGGTTGAACACGAGCCAGTAATGCATCCTTGCAGCTAACAAGGCCAAAAGCATCCTAGGCTGCATTAGGAAGAGTGTGGCCAGCAGGCTGACAGAGGTGATCCTTTCCTCTACTTGGCACTGGTCTGGCATCGTCTGAAGTCTTGTGTCCCATTCTGCATTGTCCAGTACAAGAAAGATATGGAACTACTAATTGGAGTCCAGTGAAGGATGATGAAAACAATGAAGGGACTAGAGCTTCTTTCACGTGAGAAGACCTTCAGAGAGCTGGGACTGTTCAGCCTGGAGAAGGCAAGGCTCAGAGGTATCTTGTCAATGCGTATAAGTGCCTGTTGAAAGGGAATTAAGATGAATACAGACAGACCCTTCTCAGTAGTGCCCACTGACAGGAAAAGAGCTAATGGGCACAAACCAAAAAACATGAAAAGCAAAAAATACTTTTTTACTGTTGTCCCGATCCGATATCGGGGAGGTTTCGATGCGATCCCAGGAGATGAGATTAAGATGCAAACGCAGTCATATGCCGTGCCACCTTGTAAACTTTATTTTCGGTGAACCGGGAATCAGAGGTCTGGTGGGGATGGCAGTGCGGGACGGGGAGGGGGAGGGGAGAAGACGAGACAGGAAAAAAAAAAAGGGGAAAGGCGGAAA